TTCTTTTTTGGCCTTTTTCTGTGGTGTCACAGGGTTCCCCTCCCCCTCCCCAAATGCTATTTTCTAAAAACATCATTAAAAATGTAATTAACTGGCTTATTCTTTGGAAAGTCTGCAATTGTTTACCAAAGACTTGCCACACAAGCTGCCACCTTCGACTGTGTTGACGGGGGAAGTTATGCTCTTGTTTACAACTGTGCATCAATTCGACAATATATTTAGTTTTGGTACACGTTACATATAAAATTCTTACTGAGCTTAATGTTGCAGCAAATAACACATATAGTAAGCGAGTAGGATTTATCGCTGGCTGTAATGTCGTAGTACATATTCTAAATATATACGGTGAATGATATATGCACCCGCACATGCAAACAAAATGGAAATATATTTAGTTTAAGAAGTGATGAATTGTGTTTGCTTTCCTTCTTCTCGTTCTGTGTGCAGGAGAAGGGAGCTGAAGCGCGTGGGGCGGAGGGCCCGCGCGAGGAGGCTCCGCAGCTAGAGGTGCCGACAGACCTTCTGTGAGGGCCACTGGCTGCACCGGCAAGGAGAAAATGTCCCTCCCTCTAAAAACCTTCCCCTTAGAGACCTTTTTTTTTTTTTTTTTTTTTTTAAGAAGGAACAGCAATTTTCCCCTTTAAATTCATTTGTGTGTGTGGGGGGGATTGTTCTGAGCTCTCTAGTAAGCACGGAGGCCAGAAGGCTATGCTTAAATAATTCATCTACAAATTTGCAATATCTTTTTGAACTATAGCAATTAAACGGAAAATAGAAAAATCAGCTCAGCATCCTGTTTGGATGTAATTAAAGGTATAATCTGTTCCATTTGAATACTTCAGTGCTTACCCTTCTTAAAACAACAAATAAGAATAGTAGCTCATTTGCAGTATTTTTTTTCCCGAACYGTCTAAAAAGACTAACTGATGAAGCAAGAATAATAATTCTTAAATGTGGCATGAGCACAAAACACCAACCGCAGTTGTCAAATGATTGCTGCAGTTTCTAAGCCTGCCGAGGGTTCAGGAACACGGGATGGGCTCGATGGTAAAAAGCCCAAGTCTCAGTGTTGGCATCTTGATTGTGCCGATACAGTTACCTCTTAACTGCATCAGTGGAATTAATATTAGAGGATAGCCAAAAATATGCAGGTCACATGGTTATCAGCTCAGTCTTTTAGGGGCAGCTTGAAGCTACTTCTTTACTTTTTTTTTTGTTTGTTTGTTTTTAAGGATGCAGGAGCGATGCTGCATTTGCTGTCCCTTCGTTTTCTGTAAACAGCTGAGGATTTTGCAGCACGCTATCAGGGGGCAGCTTATGAGTTTTAGGTAGTTTTTTTTCCTCCTACTGGACGTGTTTCCACTGCTTCTCAAAGAAATTGAAGTCAGGTGCAGAGTTAATATCTGCCTTGTTCATTTATTTTTCTGTAAGCAATCAAGCTTTCCCCAAATCACAGGGCAATCTCTTCTCTTTCGAGAGTGAATATAGGCCCTGTTCTCTCAATTTGGTTTAACAAAACAACTGGCATAAGTTCAATGGAAGCGATGATTATTCTGAGAGGTTACGGCAAACCGCAGAAGCTGTTAGCGCAAGGCTGGCTGGTAAGATCCCCTAAGAGGAAAAGCTCTGTGGCTATTTCAAAATGTAATTAACGGCGCGTTCAGCAACGCGGGGCGCGAGCAGCGGCCGGTTCCCGGCGCAGCAGCCCGAGCGGCCCYGTCGCCGGCACCGCACGCTGCTCCGGCCGGGCGCCCGCCCTGCTGCGGGGCCACAAACCGACCTCRTGCGACGCTTTGGGGAAGGACGTCGGCGTTCTTTTAGCTAAGGCTGTAGCAGCAAGTCTTTCAAAAGTGTRTGTGTACATCTATGTATAAACGCATATATCATTGTTAGTCATTCAAAAAAACTTTCAGTTTCCAAGTTTAGTGTTTGTTAGTTGGGGTGCCCATCTAGATGTTGAAGGGAACAAAATTTATCTGCAAAAAAGCAAAGAAAAAGAACAAGCAATAGTTATAAGATGCATGGGAGGAAATGTCCGAGTATTGGCATGGCAAGTTGGAGAGTTCAGGCTCAGGCTTTTCCCTGTTACCTGGCGCCTGCTGCAGCTTCCCCAGGCCTGAATCTGCCCTGTTTGCGGCCACCCCTTGGAGGCCCTGCTCCGGGCCCGGCTCCCGGGGAGGCTCCCTGGCGCCTTGGTGCCCGCCGTGAGGCGGCACCGCCGCTCTGCTCCGCTCTGCTCCACAGGCCTGGCGCGCCGCGGGACGAGGGCCGCGTCCGGGGCCCTGCAGCCGACTGACCGACCAGGCAGCTGTTAAAACACGCGCAGCAACAAACCCGGACTTGTTACAAGGCTAACTTGGTAAGTTGTTACACAGCACCCACGCGGAGGGAAGGGTGGGGAAACCCGCAACACAGCCTCTTTGTCCAGGGCCGAGGACTTTCCTGGCCCTGGGCACTGGCTGCGAGCAGCCCCCGGCCGTGAGGGCGTTCCTGGCTGTCCCTGTGCCTTACGCGGGGGCAGTGGAGCTCCCGCTTGCTGCGGGGCAGGCTTGAGCTGGTGCGGAGCACAGCACCGGAGCCAGCCAGGGAGCAAGGCCGTTGCAGCCTCCACAGGGCCAAACCGCAGTGACTGGTGATGAATAAGGGCTAGAAGCACCTCTTTGACTTCTTACAAACACGTTTTTAATTTGCACCTAAAAAAAAAAAAAAAAAAAAAAAAGTGTTTCGGATTTCAGGTCACCCATGTGCAACTCCGTGCAAGGCCAGGTCCTCGGGCCGCTGAACCCACAGGTAAGATGAGCTGCCTGTGTTAAACCTCTCACCCGCTGCACCAGCGTGTCAATACGGTCGTGTCAGGTAAACTTCTGCTTTTTATTAAAAAAGCAACTTATAATGTAATTGATTGCTTAGCACGAGCCCTGTATTATGGCGCTGAGGGTGCTCGGGGCCCCGTTCGCACGGCTCTCGCAAGCCGGGGCCTGTCGCTGGGGTGCAGCCTGCGGCGGTGCGGCCTCCCCAGGCCTGACTCTGCCCTGTTTGCAGCCGCCCAGCGCAGCCCCAGCCCCACGCTGGGCCCATCCCTGCGGGAAGCCGCGCGGCCCGGCCGCCCCCACAGCCGGAGGGCGCCGGGGCTGAGCTCCGACGTGGCGGCAGCGGCAGCGCAGCGCGGTGCCCGCCGAGGCGAGGGCGCCGTGTGGGGCCGCACGYGCCACCCATGGGCGAGGGCAGCGCCCAGCGCCCGGCCGCGCCGCCAGGCTCACACCGCCGAGCAGTAACACTGTAATTGCAGCTTCGCAGAAACAAATTGCTCTTTAATTGCATAAGCTTTTCTGCGGCTTCGCTGCCCTGACAATAGGCACACACCTGGTACTAAAAGTAACGCGCAGCTATTTAATACTTCAAAACTGCATGCACAGATGTCCCTATTTCAATTTTTATATGTTATTTTAATAGCACCGTTCAGAAAGTAGAGCCTTCCAAAGAGCCATACTTCTGGTGCGGAAGTACAGGCCAAAGAATCTGATAAAAATTGTAAACTAAAATGGTCTTATGAAATGCCTGGCAATACTGGATATCAACTCATGCTACACTAGTATCTGATTTTTTTTTTTCCTAGCATTTACCCTAAAATTAGATGCTGCAGCTTTTATTGGCATTAACAAGGAATCAAGCAGACAAACTCAGTGTGGTTAATATGCTAAAGAAAGAAGATGTGACTTAATTTCATAGGTTTTCTTTTGGTAAGACATTCTCATTTTGTATTTCATAAGATACTGCATTACCTGTTAAAATATTTAAAGATAAATCATGTAGGACTGGAAAGACAGTATCTTGCTGCAAACAGAATTTGGTTTGGAAAGGCTTAATGTCCCACTGCCTGCCAGGATGCGTAAATCTCATAACTAGACAGCTGGGTAGGTAAAAACATTAAACCCATTTAGAGGGCAATCTTTTTACAAAATTGTTTCATTAATAAGAGTGACAATTTATATGATTGAGACACTTAGATGCAGTACAGACAGTGCATTTTATCCAGGTTCACGAGGATGATTTCAGATTAGTAATATTTCCTTTGCTTTTTTTTTTTTTTTTTTTTTAAACAGCATTCATTTTGAAAGTGAGGGAAGCTCTTCCTGACTGATTCTTTGTGTGACTTAGCAGCAGCCCTGAACGCAGCCGGGAGTGTTTCAGGGTCTGTGCAGCAAACGCATGTGATAAAAGGTGAGCGTGTGCATGATTTTCCTCACAGGTCACCTAAAAAAAGTGACTTTTCAGGTAAGTACAAACCCAAGTGTTTCCAGTAGCCTTTTATCCACACCTAACATAGCCATTAGGGCCTGCTTTATTGTCTGAAATGCCTCTGGTTTCAAGAAAGCATTTTACCTAAAGCAAGAATACTACTTAAATATGTTCTATTGTATATTCATAGCTCCATTAGGCCGTCTCCAATTTAGCACATCAAAGCAAAGGCTTCATCACTTGCATGTGGATTATGCTAACATGAGTGACATTTGTAATCTTATAGGTCTGCAACTTAAGAAATGCTTTTAAAGTAAGCTATTAAATAGGTAGCTGTGCTTTACAAACGAGTCATATAATAGTTTATTTAAAGCCTTTAATGAACTTCAACCTCTACATCACTAAATGCTATACTACATTACTTACTCAAAGTTATTAACTATCTTCTTAGCACTTCTAGGTTATATTGGACAACCAAAAATCCGTACATGTTAGATTTAAATACTGTACCTTGAGTACTTATACTGAAAGAATATAAAAAGATGTCTGCAGTCTCACTAATACTTAAATGCCATATTCATATGACTTGGAGTGTGTTTTCAAAGAAATTCAAACAGCGCAATTTGAAGGACTCTACCTAAAGACTTTAATGCCAGATCAAAAAGCTTAGAAACTTCTTTAAAAAAATGTAATTGCATTTAATTTAAAAAGTGATACATAGCTTCATTTTTTTTTTAATTACTGCATACATCATGCAAGGATTCTTTTGTGCTTTCTGTCCGATACTGTACATTAAGTCATTTTCTTTTCTCTGCAAGAGGCCTGTTTTTTCCCAAGCACTGAAGTATTAAAAGCAGAAATTCAGCAGCCCTCCAATATACTAGAGGTCAAGAAGTAGGATCTGAAAAGACTCTTGCCGTTGGTTGTTTAGACAGACAAATCTATGTATCAGTTTTTTGTGTATCAGCATCACTACCAAAGTCAGTCAAGCTCACACTGTAACCAGGCAAGCTGAACTCCTTTAGAACAGTATTAAAAAAGAAAATATAGTCATGATGTGGGTCACATATATTAGTCTCCTGTAAGAGTACAAGTTACCAATATTGATTTCTTATGAATTGCAGCAGGGGCACCTTCTAGGTGCTTGCAATTTCCTGACCAACAGCATACCATACATGGCCCATTCATTCRTTTATTTGCAACGAATAGTGAAAAGTCAGAATTCTTTTTTCCTCAAAATTATTCTGCATTTATCTACCTGTCAGTACCTGCAGGCAGAAAACCCACTAGACAGATTTCCTCTCTCTCTAACCTTAGAGGCTGCTCCATAGTTTTGAGGGGTTTATTTTGGTGTTTTTCTCTTGGAAAGGGGATGGTATTTGCCAGGAGCTGGTTGTGTTAGGCCAGCAAGCCCAGCGCTGTTCAGCGCAGAAGAGCTGTTGTCCTGCAGTGCTAACAGCTCCTCACGTGCGGGGCCCAGGCCAGGCACCGGCCTCGCGCTGCCGGCCGGCTGCCCTCAGAGCGCCCGCGCTCCTGCCCGCGCCCCCCGGCCCTGCGCCCCATCCAGGGAGACTCCGTGCGGAGGAGCGGGGCCTCGGGCCTGGAGCGGTGCCCGCCCGGCCGCCCCGGCTCTCGGCGGCAGCGGTGCCGGTATGGAGACTCTCGATGGCAAGTAAAGCGCAGCTGGAAGCGGCGCCCTGCGCCCTTGCCAACAGTGACGGGTTAAGTAGTTTAACAGATTCCTTACAGGTGTAAGGCAAAAAGTGGCAAACCAAAAAGCTCCTTTTCAAGGTAAGCGCTACATAAGGTTCAGTTTCAGAGTAATGTTCTGAATGTAGTTACCAAAAAAGGGCACCAGAACTGCTAAATCCCACACTCCAGTGTTTCTGTTTTACTTTTTTTATTATTTAAATACACCATACTAGAGCAAATGTCTCTGAAAATATCACAAATAAAAGATTTTTCTTCATTCAGCAAATTAGAAGTAGGTGAAAATTTCTACACAGTAGCTGCTATGAGCCTGACGGGTTTTTTTTTYYTTTTTYYTTTTTTTTTTTTTTGCCATGGGGAGTAGCAACATTAGGACAAAAACACTTACATGCATACATACATTGTATTTTACAGAGATACAATAAAAGTGTCTGTGATAGAGTATCACAAAAGCCACATCTTTCCTTTATCTCATGTTCAGTTTGATTGAAACACATTTCCTTACAACACTTAAATATACAAAGAGCAAAGAGAATGTTGTTAAGGTAAAACACAGGGTACAAACTCTGGCCAGTGCCCTGCTAATTGTTAATGAGGGTAGAAAGCAGATTTCAATGCTTCTTTTAATTAGCTTCATTAGTCATCTTCCCCACCCGCCCCCCCAAAGATGTCCTCCGGTGGATCTTTTTTCATTTTCTCTACAGTCTCCCATTAGCCCAGGTTCATGGAGTCCTTAATGTTCATATTCAGTCATTTTAATACACCAATAAATGTGGGAAGGGCAATCAAGAATAAAGAAGGTGCAATGGTATGGAGCTGGCATTGATGCTAGCTACAAAGGTGACTTGTCTACTTGGAGACATGGGATCCATCTGGGATGAACAAAGTCTGAGATGAAGGCACGCATTCTGCATTACTCTGACCCTTTAGCAGACCTGCAAGAAACAAAAATGGGCATCTTAGCTAAAAGGCTAAATTTGACATAGGAAACTTCAACAAGACTCTGCTCTCGGCTTTCCCTTATTCACTAATCTCTTTTTTATTAGATTACTTTCCAACTGTGACTTGATTAAGGCTTTCTACACTATCCATTCATACTGCTAATGTTTCAACTCCAAATAGCAAAAAGCAAGTATTTTCCGCAGTCTCATAAAAAAAGAGCAGACAGAAATTWAAAAAAAAAAAAAAAAGTTAAAAAAGACAACAACAAGTAAGTATACTTTCTGGTAGCAAACTGTACAGTGAATAAGGTCATTTCTCTGGGCCCCTTTTTAAAAGGGAAGAAACATTATGCCATGCCTTTGAAGACGCAAGTAATATGATCTTATAATTGGAAGAAATAGTGTGTAAAGCAAATAAGAAGTACAGCCAATATCCTCCCAAGGCAACTTTGGTTAATATGCTGCATTGCACAAGTGCTAAATATAGATATTTCAGGATTTTTCCCCCCCATTTAAAATTCCTCATCTGGTGTGTTAGTTAATGTTACATAAACATTTTAATATATGAAGTCAAACATGTGCTTTCACACTGGTGTTAATGAATTGTGATAATTAAAAGTGTCTAACTCAATAAAAATCTAAACTTTCATGGATAAAGTAGAAATGATCATCCATAGTCTTCGAAWACAATCTGTTTGCAATTACCAAAATGAAATAATATATATTAGATTTTTTATGGGTTTTAAACGACATTTTGTGCTTCCCAGGAAGTTCTTTTTTTCACCCTTTCTCTAAGTTACTAAAAGCCTGAGGTCTATTAGTAACTGCAACCCCCCACTTTCAAGCTAATTAAAGTAGTAGAGGCTCGGAGGTTTAATTCCCCAGAGCTGAAGCTCAGTGTGAGAAAGGTAATTTGTCTGTCCAGAACAAAGATTAGGGAGCAGCCAGCAAGCATATTTAATAAATGAGCATCAAATATCTTCCACTATGGACACAGACAACACCAATTATGTAACTACAAGGGAATTGTTGAGTGATATGTAAACTAGGAGATTTTTAAGATCTTCTTTAAGAGACGTAAGCTAACTCATACTTTATTTAAAAGTCCAGAAGCTGGAGATCCTGTTCGCTACCTGCCCTGCCAACCAGGGGAACATTTCAGCCGCGAGTAACGGCGCTGGCAGCGAGAACGGTGGGATGGGACCAAAGGCCAGAGCAGAGGCTGCTCCCCAGAGGCCAGGGCTGCCCCGCAACCCTCCTGGCACACGGGGCATCACCAACAAGCCGGCACCAGCCATGGAGCGGCCTTAACATGGAAACCAGAAAAGACAACAGGGATTTCACAACTGTCACCTTCATGAAATCCACAGCAAAGCGGGGTTTGGGTTTGGGGTTGTTTTTAAATGCAGAGTACAGCTCAATCTCCTCATCTTAATAAAAACGCCTGTGAATATTCTGCTATGTCTATAATCTCTAGCGGCTGAATAACCTGGAGACTGATTGAGCTTTAATGTTTAATAAAGAGTATTCTATCTATTGCAGACAACTCTGTCAAAGTGGAAGAACGTTTTTAATTAGTGGCCTTATTTTGTTAAAAAGGCCTCACACAAACAGTACTTCTTTGGCACCAACTCCTTCCCTCCTCCCTTTTGTTTTAGGGGGGAGTAGGAGGGGAATGTTCAAGTGCTCCCCAAAGCCCCTTCGAAAAGCGGCACGAGGCCTCGGCGCATTTGCAGCAGGTACAGCAAATACAGGCAAGGGAGGCACAAGAGCTGCGAGCCCCAGCGCGCCGCTCTCGCTGGCAGCTCTGGGGCTGCCGCCTCGCGGCCCGGCTGGCTCGGGCCCCGCTCCCTGCGGTGCCGGCTCCGCACGCCTGGGCCCGCTTCACTTCCCTTGTCCGTGTTCCGTCTTCCTCGGTCGTGTCTACTGCTTTTACTGAAACTAAATCATTTTTATGTTTTGCTAAGGCATAGTAAGAAACTGCTAAAACTAAATGACAATTTAGACACCTATTTGAAGTTACATTAAACTTTACATTCATAGAAGACATGTGGATAAACCACTCTCTCGGCACGGTAAACTTCTTACTGCAGTGTATAAAGATGAACGGTTTTACYTGTATTTTGAAATGGGATACCTACAAATATTCATGTAACCGATTCACTGCTACCTCCTCTGTACTACAGATTTGTTTCATTAAAATTCACAACAGTATAAATCTATGAATCTTTAACTGTATTTGTACTTCCTTGAGGAGAGGCTGCACATTCGCCTCCAATCTTAATTATCTTTGTTCTGCCTAACTATATGACTTTTGTACTCAGCTCCCTCTTGTCACCTCAGTTGACAAATTAGGTAAATAAAAAAGCTCCGTGTTTTATTTTGATGTAATTATAGTCACTGCATAGGAGTCAAAAGATTACTTAAAATTAATCAGTAAATTTATGCACAGAAAAAAAAGCAAACATGGATATTGAAATTTAGCAACAGAACAATAAAAAAACATGGAAATTAAAAACAGGTTTGCATTTTTTTGTACGTATTTACCACTATGTAAAAGCATTAAAAAAATTCTGCACATTACAGAATAGAGAAACCCAGCATTTGTCCCAGATTTTTTTAATCTTTCAAATTCGTATTTGCAGATAAATGTTATTTTTTGTGATCCTTACAGACATTAATGAAGTTCCTATTGTAAATCTATAAAGAATTACCAACTGAAGTGTGCACTTTTTGTTTCATTGCAATAACTCAGTGCTGTGTGATTGCCTGGGTTAATGATGAAAAAGTCAAATATACTATCAGAGCTGATGGAAAAATCTATCACCAATCTGAAATTAAAATTCATCTGTGGTCAATAAGATTTAATATCCATGCAAGTGGCGCTGTAAAGAGTAAATGAATCAATGTCATCAATACATAATCAGTATGAAATATGATGTGAATAAAATTATGTGCAAGAGTCATACATTCACTCTTTTCTGGACCAGGGTGGAATGAACAGTCTCTTAACTCAAGGTTGACAGTAATTGTTACAAATTAGACACAGCAGTTATCAAAATGCACTCACTTGCATAGCTTTAGGACTTATTAAGGAGATTAAAATAGATCTAAAACTATCTAGTTTCAGGACAACTGTTGATCCAATTTTTTTCCCTCCTCCTCTGCATGATTTGTATACTCCTAATTTACTCATGTGACTAGAGTTTGCTCAGTCTAGAAACCAAGAACTACTGAGCACAGAGATGTGCTAATTGTGCTATTAGTGTTACAGGAAAATAAGAATTTTAAGTTATGAGATAAAAACAGACAAGAAAATACTTCTGGACGGGTTCCCCGACAGGTTTCCTCAACTACAACTTTAATATTAAAGTGAAATACAAAGGCTTAATTCAGAAACCTTCTTTCACAATCATTTATTTCCATATTAAGGAATCTATTTTTCCTTCCCCAGTAACCTGCACTCTTTTAGTCCTTAATTTCAAAGCTATATAAAATAAAATGCTTCTCTTTGTTAAGACAATTTGTAAGAGCGCATGTTCTGCATTCCAGTATTCTATATGAGGAGTTCAACAGCTATTCACATCTACATGCCCAAACCTAAACAAACTGACTCATCATACACTTTATGTATACGTAGATTGAAAGGGTTAGTACTTCTGCCCCATACCTCATGCCTAAGTTAAGCTCAGTTATTTAAAGGTGCCCCTTGGGATGGCGGGAAGTATCCACTATTAGACTGAAAGAAATTGATCTTCATTTAGCTCTAATAAAGCTTATTAGTAATTGTTGAGTATTCACCTTCTGGTCTGGCAGTAGTGGATTACTCTGAAGTGAATTCAAATGGCCATTGATGAGAGCTGTAGGTCTATCATGTTCACAAAATAAACTGCCATTGATGTAGTGAAACCGATCTCCTGGGACCAGGCGATTCCGGCAGGTAGAGCATGTAAAACACTGAAAAAGGAAAGAGACAGCGGTGAAACTACAGCCCGAATGAGGCAGGCTGCAGGTTGGAAAATTGCACTTSAGAGCCTGTGAGTACAGCTGAGCTATGGAGCTGCTTTGCTTTCTAGTATCTCCCAAACTGGCATTAGTCTTACCTGTAGGGACTACGCAGCACATAACTCGAGCACAGCTTTACCGGTGATGAGGGGACAAAGCGGAACACGAGAGGAAGCTCTGTGATATACACTCGTAGTTCCAGTTACTGCTCTGCACGCTGCTCATAAGCACACGCAGACTTTACAAGAAAGAAGCAGGGCACTACTAATAAGCTAGTGAGAAAAGAGAAAAAAAAAACCAACCCTCACCTTAAGATGATAGACATTGCCCTGCGCCCTCATGACCAGCTCGCTAGCAGGAATGGACTGTCCACAGGCACTGCAAGCACCACTATTTCCAAATAACCTGAAACAGAGGTGATGATCATGAATAATTTAATACACAGGAGRCTCTAACCATTTTTGCGCATCACTGCAATGGTTTATTACACAACTATTTCAGACTTCTGACCCCTGTCTTCCAACTTGCTTATGGGTTGTAGTACGAAAAAGTATATTTTTGTATAACAAGTGGTAGCTTCACCCTACCCTGGATGTTGGTTGCACAAGATTTAATCAGAAATATTGACTTACACCTCTAGAAACACAAACAATTCTGTACTACACACATTTTATCAGATTACTGGGTTCATCATAAAAAAAAAAGATACAATTCATGACTGGAGTTTAAATGCATTGTGTCCTTGAAATTATATGAAGAACTCTTTTGTACTTTAATCATATCTTGAGATATGAGTCATCAAAAGGGTTAAGAGGATTTGATTGTATATCTAAGAAGACATCATGCTCAGTGTATTGAAACTCCAGTAAACCTCCATCAGTGCAGAGTTTCCATTAGAAACTCTCTGCTATCCAGGTTGATATATAATGTGTATGGGTTAACCTTTTCAATCATGGTGTCAACACTTTAGATTTGCCTCTGCTCATCTCTTTCATCCTAACCTTCTCTCTCTCTTGATAATGAAATGCTTGCTCCAACTTCCCTCTATCTGCTCCTGAGTCCACAATTTAGATTACTTCATCTCTGCTAGCAACAAACTGAATGAAATTTCGATTTGAGCAGAAAGTAATTTACCGGGATCTGGACCCATTTGTCATCATATCTCTCTGGGTGTTTGCTGTATCACTGCAGTTTTCCTATGCAATCAAATGAGACCACAACATCTGCCATGGGGGGGAACACGCAGTGGGGGAGGGGGAGAGGCACAAGAGTGCTGAAGAAAAATATATACATAATTCTTCAAACCCATTTAAAGGCACAACACAGCGATGCAAAATATAACGCAGTAATGAGTACTGAGGGCCACTTTCACCGACAACTAGGAAACCTTCGTTTGCTTTTGTGTCTTTCTCTTCAATATTCACAGATATTTATAAAGAGGACCCCAATCTCCTCACAGCAGAAAAGGAAACTGCCCCAGCTGCCCAGGTCACAGACCCACTTCCCTGCACCATGTAAAACACAGTAATCGGATTTACAAATTAGTGTATTGGTGTCATAATAAATATTAATATTTGCATCTCTTTCCTGTCCAAATAAAGTCATAAAATTCTGTTTGTGTCATCCTAGGAGACGCATTACAACAGAATACCCGTAATCTGAATGATTGCAGTATGCCTCTGTATAAAAATAATTGCTTTGAATTTTCTGAATCTGGGCTTGCAGAGGAGGCTTGTCATGTTCAAACTACTAATTTGCTGTCGCCACTTTATTGAAAATAGCCTGTAAGTTGTTATTAAATGTATCGACTGAACGACAGAGAGAGTAGTAAAACTGCCCCTTAAGATGGCTTTTAATAGGAAGCCGAGAAACAAATTTTGCAGCAGCATCGATTTGAAGAGTTCAATCAAAACTCCATTTCAAAACTAATTAGTCTGAGATGCACGACACATTGACACATTCCTGCAGAAGCGCAGCGGTTACACAGGGAAAGCTGAACCGGCAGCGCGGCRGGACCTGCAGCCACGACCAAACTGCCTAGAAACTTGGGGTCTGTGGCCGCGGCCTCTCTGGCGGCAGGAGCGGGTCCGGCGGCTCCGTCGCACGCGGAGGTGGCTCCGGAGCCTTACAAAGCGCCCTGCTCCTCGAGCAGCTGGCCAGGAAAAGGTGCATGGGAAGCACCTGAAGCTTCGGGAAGGCAGCAGGGACCGGTCACGTTTCCAGACCCAAGATCCCAAAAGGCTCCCTGGGGCAGGGCCCTCGGCTGTGCTCCCGCTCCCAGAGTGCGCGGCCAGCGGCTCCTCAGCCCCTGCTACAACTGCGTCAGCAACTGGAACGCAGCTTCTCGGCGCCCCGGCCTCGCGGCGCCGCTTCTCCTTTTCAAGCGCTCATTTATTATACAAATCTCTCCRGCTAGACGTGGTTGCACACCTTGAATGCCCGTGAATTTTAACGGGCGCAGTCCAACTAACCCAGAGGCTTCCACACGTCCCAGGTGCCACCCAGCCAGGCTCCCACTGCATTCCTCGGTTCRGGAAGCCACTGCAGCTGCGGCCTTCTGCTGAAATCCCTACAGTTGCTTGCCAAGTTAGACCACCTTATTACAACTATCTGCTACTTTGTATTATTTACTAGGACAATTAAGCTTATTTTTCCTTCGCTGCTGTTACAAACACTTTTGTAATATCATTACCAGGAAAACAGTTTTATCTTAAGAATAATATTATTCCTTCCTAACAGTAAAGGAGGCCCAGCACTAACTATTCTTTACTGAATAAAAAAAAAAAAAAGTTGTTTCACGTGGTTTCTGAGAGGCTGGAGAGCTAATTATCTAACCAGGGGGACTGTCCAGGACAGTATTTGATTTAAAAGGCTCGAGGCTTTAGGTGCTCAATTAAGTAGCTATCGGTCTCAGACTGGACTTTAATGGGCTCTTTTCTCTTTAACTGCAGCAATGGGTAGAGATACCCCAGGTCGGGCTAATTAAAGCCAGGGGACTCTTTAATTGTGATGACAGAATTGGTTTCAGTTTCCTCTTTGGGTCCTCAGTCCAAGAAGGTCATTAATATTTCAACATTTGGGCAATGCAATCAATCACCAACATCAAGAGGTTCCCTATACGGGCAAGGCGCTCTCTCCCACACTGAGCAGCCTTGTACCGAGCCACCTTAAACCAACAGCCCAGCCTTGCCCACACCCCAATACACAAGCGCTCCTATTTCTCCTCCTGACCCTCCATGCGAGTGGGAGCGAAGGCAACAAGAAATCTTTTCAGTGCGGTTTCATGTCTTGCTGCTCAAAATTGGATATCTGCAGAAACACATTTCTAGCAAACTGTGATAAAATAAAAAGAAGATCTGAAGTTGTTTCCCAAAGTATGGGGAGAGATTTGAATGCCCTAATTCCCGCACCCCACAGGACATATTTGTGCCCACAAACACGCACCCAGCCCAACGCGCATCCAAAACTAACGATCCAGAAGTGACTGGCGTTTCTGCAGATTCTCTGTATTTAATCTAAATTCTGCACCAGCTATATTTAATGTAACAAAGGAAGGCAACACAGAAATTATGCCTGGAGCCAAGTCCATTAAAGGTACTTCAGCATAACTAGAGACCAAGCACCTTAAAAGCACCAGAAGCTATTGATACTTAAAAGGGGGGCTGCGCATAATGGCAAGTGCTGCATTAGAGAAGGGGAAGGGAGGGAGGGAGGGGAAAAAAAAAAAAAAAAAAGCCAAATTACGCTTGGTTAATTCAGAGTAACAGATCTGCCCCCAAGTGAATTGGAGGCCTTGAATTAATTCTGTTATGACAAATCAAGATAAACGTTCCCCCTAAATTGCATGCGATTTAATTAATTTTTGAGATCCTGAGGTTTTTTTTTTTCCTAGCTAATAGTTCACATGCTCCTGTGCTGTCATTGTGCTTGAGTGGGCAGACTTCAAAGTGATATTAAATAACCAACTATTAGATTTACCTAGCACGTCCTACTGGAAAAGTGCCATTTAATTACCTAGCCTGTTCAATTAAAGGGACAGCATTCCCTGAATATAGCAGCTTGCCGCTGATTACCAGGGAAATGAACTCGCTGCCCGGCGGCCCCT